TTACCAGCATGATGCAGGCAAATGTGAGGGAGCTGAGGAAACCACAGCAGTAATTGTGAAGGGCTGGAAGGTCTCTTCTTTGAGGAGAGATCAAATGAGCTAGATGTGTAGGTCATCTAAGCAGTTGATAGCAGTAGACCTCCACAAGATGGGCAGCTGAAAGACTGGGACTGTCAACAGGACAAATTAGAACACATCCAGATAAGGTGAATCTGAATATTACTGTTCTTGGCCTCAAAACAGTGGAACATGCAAAGAAACTGGAAGGCAGCTTATTTAAAATGTGTGACGTTACCTTTTCCATGACTTGCCTCCTGAATTCATCCCCCTCAAGTTTATTCAAAGCAAGAAAATTCCCAGGACTGAAAATAGCTGAGAGTGCTGTCTGGATAAAAAGGACAGCCAGTAGTATCTTAGGTTAGAAGAAATTTCGGAGAAGGTAGAGGAGAGGAAGTGCTGAGGAAGTTAATAGTGTGTAGGTGTTTGCAGGCTTGAGGTCTCACCTGTGCATCAGTGTGGAAGTTAATCATCCACAGTGGGGACTGAGCCGAGCTGCCTGCTCAGCCTGTTTCTTGGATGTGCCTCACCTCACTGGCCCTTTCCCACTGCCCGTGGCAGCGTCCAGGACTGGGCCCACCCTTTTCTGTTTCAGCCAGGCCATTTTCCTCAATGAGACCTCAGCCTGAAAGTTTTGGGAAACACATCATCAGTCACGGCGCTGCCACGGGGGAGATGGGAAATCCTTCCTACCCCTGATGGATGTCCCGCCTGGCTTAGATCCGCAGTGTCAGGAATTAGAGGCCGCCTGGCTCTGCCCACCCTCCAGCCCGATGATGAAGAGATCAGTTTTATTCTAGTGCTGCTTCCTTTGCCTATTCCTGCGTGTGAATCTGCCAGCAGCATCAGTGCACCCTTTGCACTGTGCCGGGCTCAGGAGGGGCAGCACAGGCTGTCTGTCACTTCAGTCCCTTTTCGGTCTGTAATCTAAGATGCAATACTCCTGTCTGCAACTCTGCTAGCTCTTTGGCTTTTCCTTAGAACATGAAAATTATTACAGTTTGCCCTTGAACTTTTAGTTTTTAATACCTCTTGAAAACATACTGTGATCCCTTGGAAGACTTATTTTAAAGGAAACCGTCTGGGAGCACTCGGGGAAATTTGGCCACTGTCGTGTCCCAGACAGTGGTCAGTGACATGGTGAGGCGAAGAGCTAGAAGAAACCCAGCAGGAGTACTTGCCTCAGTGTACACTCGTGGCATCTGTCCATCAGCAGCCCTCGTAGGGCTGGTGAGGACACTTGGTGCCATGGGAGGTTCCTGCTAGTTTATCATGGTCACGGGAGCATGAAACCTGGTAGGGTACATTGGCCGTGGGGCGTGCAGAGGGGCAGCACGCTTCCATGGGCTGGGTTACGGTGTCTGTGACTGCTTTGGTGTGAACAGCTAACCAGATAGGTGCTCGCTGCAGAGTGGGATGTGTGTCAGTTTGAAGATGCTGATTCTCATCAGCTGATTCCCTTTACATTTGGCATGGCTTTTCTCAAAATGTACCAGGTCCCCTTGGGATGAGGTTGGTTCTGTGGAAGTGGAAACGATGATTATCATGTTGTTGTGTTTATTTGGAGAGGATGTGCAGCAGTTGTCAGACAGCACTATGTACCTAATTGGGAATTCAACTTCCAGCTGGTAGATTGAGACTGAAAGGCAGAGCTGTGGGATAGACACGGGCAGGCACAAAATTGAGGCTCCTAATCTTTTACAATATGTTTGTTTAATACAAAGTGGTCTGCTGAGATTGTTTTGCAGTGTAGAATAATCATTGTGTGCTGACTAATGGGAGACAGCAAGCTGTTAAAGAGCATCAATTAACCATACAGGAGGAGGTTATTGAGTGTTTTCACAAGCATTCAGGATATGAAGAGTAAAGAATATTACTTGAAGGTAACCCTCAGAGATTTCTAGCTATTGAAATCTATAAACTGCAACAAGAGTAGTTGTGGACATATATATGGTTGTAGAGTTTACCAGGAAGAACAGTGGGGAAAAAACCTCAAGCCAGCTTTCCAACTCCAGATAGTGCTGACAGAAATAAGTAGTGCTTTGCTAAACTTGTTCTCTTATTTCACATTAATTATTTTGAAAATTTCACTTGTTAAATTTATCTAATGTTGTCCCAGGAAATATTGATTCTCTTTACAGAAGATAACACGTGCAGTGCCCTTTTGATACTCAGATATCAGAATTTGTTGTATTTCTGCTTTCCTGACTGCCTAACTGTAAGGCTGTTGTCCTTGTCCTTACAGCTGCTCCTGCTTCAGTACAGTAATTCCTATTCCTGCTATTGCTATGAGTTAAAACTCAATGCACTTAGTGCTGAGAGGAGCATGCTCTTCCCTCATATACTGTGCACAATGGATAATAAAATTCTCCAATTTTAGCTGGTGGAGGGTATGAAAACCTACGTTTCATTAGGAATACTTTTATACGGTCCTACTAGTATTCTGCCAGAGTTTAATGCGAAAAATAAATAACATTTTGTGGGTTCTGTTTGCTGAGTGATTTTGTTCTTTGTAAGTAATGGGAAATTTTTCCCATCCCGGATTCCAGTGTTAAATCCACTTTGTGCAAACATTATTTTCCATTTATTCATTGGCAGTGAGGAGGCCAGATAACATTGAATTTATTTTTTCAGTTTATTTTCTTCTAAAGTGCTGTTAGAGAATTGGACCTCAGATCTTTTTTTAGCCAACAGCAAGAGATGTCCTGGGATTCCTGGAGGATTATGACAAAGAGGGACCCTTGATTCTTAGACAAGGGCAAAGATAGACTTCTCTTGGCTTCAACTTTCTATTCGAATGCCTTAATCAACAGAGGTCTTCTTTAACAGATGGTTCTGCATTAATAAAACCTTTAATGTGTTAGGAAGAATTCAGGGAAATTTACTCGTTTTCTGATTTGATTGATTTTCTTAAATCTTTTTTGAGCAGGGTTGGGGGGGAGGGAGAGGAGAATAACGCATCAGAAGAGGATTAATTACTTTGCTGCAAAGCTCATGCAGATATTCTGGTGAAAGACTTGGGGTAAGTGTGTGAAGTCCTGGTGAAGTTGGTGTCGGTGGGGAAATTTAACTGTGACTGCAGCCCTTGTGCCTGCAGTGTTTCTCACCTCAGGAGAATGTAATCTGAGCCCCTTTGCCAAAAGCCTCTGAATTCGTTTCAGTAATGAAACCCTCCCTACTGATCTATGGAAAAAATCCTTTTTTCTCCAAATACGGCAGCTGGTTTGACCCTGAATACTTGTAGCTTGGCAGTGGCAAAGGCGGGGAGCCGGCTTTGCTACCTTAGGACTCTTGTCCTTGCAGCTGGTGCTGCTTTGAGCTCTGACTGATCTCTGGTGCTTCAGATAGATGCCAGAATATCCCTGACTTTACAGGGAATTTGTCAAAGCCCTAATATGTGAGATACCAATATCTCAATGCAGATCTGCAGATTTAAAACCCCAAGGAGTTGTTCAGCTTCGCCGGTGGCCAGGGAAGGGAGGGGTTGCAGAGCAGTTTCAAGGCTGGAAGGGGGTATCATTAGCACTGAGTTTTGACCTGAGCTGGGCTGTGGCCAGAGGATTCATCCCTGGAGCTGCAATGAAGCATTTCATGGTTCATTATCCTCACAGTAGGAAACAATGTCTTATTCTGGAGCTGAATATCTAACTCAAGTTTTCATCCATTTGATCTTCTTATGGCTTTGTCAGCAAAGTCTGGTCTCTCACGACTTTTTTTTCCACTTTCGTTTAGGATCTAAAACAAATGATATGCCTGTTTCCATGAATGGAATAGTTTGAGCTCTAGAAGTTTCATACTATATATAAGGCTTGTTTTCTGGGCTGTGAGTCATTGGGTGACCTGCCTTTGAATCCTGCTCTCTGTTTCCCTGTGGTTTTTTTTGAAGCATGAACTTCAGAACTGCGCACAAGTTCCAGGAGAGCTCTGGGATTTGTGCAGGTTGCAGAGGCAGCATCACTTTTCTGAAACTTTGCTGCTTTTTGGCTGAGATGATTTGGCAGTTGGTTGCCATAGCAGAAATAGAAAATGCCACTGGACCAAGAACCATTTCCCTGAAGGCCTTAGCAAGGTACCTCTTCTTATGGATGTTTCTCCACTGACAACTACATTTTGCGATGAGTCACTGAATTCATGTTTAATCCACTAGTAAAATTGGCAAGGCAATTACTGTCTTGCAAGTTCTTCAAATCAAATTGTTAGAGAACATTAAATCGAATGCTCTGGAGAAATCCCAGTATATACAATCGCTTTTATCATCCAGTCTGTGATTCTGTCACAAGAAAAGCTTTGTTTTATTGGGCCTATCTTCAGTGAAAGTGTGCTGCCTGGTGCTCATTTTGGTCTTAGCCTCTACTTCTTTGTCTCTGCTCCATTATTTTGCTTTTTCCTATTTGTTACCCCATAATGAGAATTGAGAATTAAGGAATTTCAGGCTTACAATTGTCATCCCTACTTTTTACCATTGCCAAGTACAGAAAGCACTTGCGAACTGAAATAATACTGTTAGTCACGAGGCAATTAATCTGTTATGACAAGGCAGTGGCTTAAAGCACAATGGTGATGAAGGTCACTCTGCTGGGTCTCCCTTTTTGCTCCGTGTGTTTTGCTCTGAAGTCAAACCACCCACTCCTCGGTAAGAGGGAAGCGTGCAGAGCTCTTGTGTGTTAGTCATCGGTGGAGGGGCTGGTAGACTGTGAATCTGCAAACAAATGACTGCAGGCAGCTTTTTGGTCAGTGAGGCTGCTACCTGATAGAAGGCACGTGTTAGCTTAATGCAGTTTTCGCTGCCACACACTTAGGCTTGTACTCACACTTGGCTCTCTTCTCTTTGGTACATCCTAGTCCAAACATGCCATTTTGTGTTGTTTCCTGGCGGGAAGATTTTTTCACAGAAATCTACCACATTCTATTTCTTCCCCTCCCTTTTCTACTTCTCTCTACAGGTAAAAACAAGAGAGGAAGAACTACAGAAGGAGGGGTTCTCTGCCAGTGCTAGAAAGATACAGGAAAGTGTCAAACTAAAATTGCTAGATCTTACACACCTGTGCGCTCAAAAAAAAAATAAAATGCACGGTTCGTGCAGACTGGTGTTCAGAAGCAAACATTCTGCCAGCAAAATGGGCTTTCGGAGGTCTGTATCCAAGGAGCCTGTCTCAGCTGTCAGTGCTACAGAGGTGATCAGAGAACTGCAGATGAGAGAGGCCAGCCTGGAGAGAGAGCTGAAGCAGCTGCGGGAAGAGTGCAGGCAGAGGCTGGATGAAATTGCAGAAGGGTTGGCTGGGGTGATTTGTATCTCCCCCTGAAGAGTTAAAGTTGGACTGAGAAGAGCAAAGGAATAGACTGACTTGGTCAGAACACATTGTGCAGCTTGGCATGGAGGAGTGCAAGGTGAGGAACCAAATGTAATTTCTAATTTTTAAGCCTGGGAATCATAACTTGTTACTGCTTTGTGACTTGCGCTGGGGCCATAACCTTGGTGGTTCTCTCTGCAGCCCCTTTATTGCTAACCTTGCCAATTAAATTCTGCAGCAGGCCTTGGTGGGAGTGTGTGTAAATCTCCCTTTTATCTTTCAGATTTCTAGCTCTTCTGCCAAGCACTGGGCTCTTAGACAGTGCTCAGCTGCTAGGCACAGCATACATTGAGGCTGTGCTTTGAAGTACTAATTGCATTCAATATTTTCCAGCAAATGGAAGAGTTCATTATTCAGAAAAATCCAGGTATTGGAGAACATGCAAAGTACCAAAGCTTAGAGAGATTGGAAATGTTCAAGAAAGTGTGCTGTTTTAATTCAGCTGTTTTGTATATTTGTGGCAGCTATAATGCAGTCATCGTAAGAAAAAAAAAAAGCCAAATAATAAATAAAGCAGCACACTGATTTCATTTACTGGTGTGATGCACTTGAAGTAATTGGGTTCTCAAAGAGAACAAACTAGAAACCTATTCCACAGAGTTATGAGTCACAATGAGGTAACTTATGGATCTGCTATAAGAAGTTTCTGTAAAATAGAAATATGACCTCAACTTCCAAGCTTGAGGAGTCTCCCAGCTCTGTCTCCAGAGGCTTTTTCCCCTGGAACATGCAAATGTTTTTCACTTGGCATTCATTTCCTACCTTTTTCTGGTTTGCTTTCACCAAGGAATATTTTTATATTCTAGTTGTATACTTTCAGGAATAAATAAACTTAAAAAAAAAAAAAACAAAAAACAAAAAAACAAACCAGTTTGCTTTTCATTTGTGAATTTCTATGAGCAATGGGTTTTCCTCCGTCTGGATTCCTGTCTGCTACCCCAGCTCGGTGGTGTCGCTGATTACCAGCCGCTTTTTGGCTCACTCAGCAGCCAAACGTGAGGAACCTTTCAGGACCTCTCCCCAGGCATCGGCACGACTGCTGCTCTGCAGGGCGACAGATGGGGCAGCCCCCGGGAGCGGGGTGCTCGCTGAGAGAGGCTGCCAGTCCCAACCAGGTCGCCTGCTGTCAGAGGGCACCGCGGTGACAAACATCCCTGGAGCAGAAAACCCCAGTGGGCTGGTGAGATCCATCTCTGGGGCAGGTGGTGGCCTCAGGCTCCTGCTCCTGGAAGAACAGCCCTGGCCTTAAAAAGCTAATCCACATCACCCCGCTTTTCAAACTGTCTCTGTAGGTGCAGGGTACCAAGCACTGAAATGTTTCAAGCTGGTACAACTTTGGGAGGGTGCTGGCTCCAGGGCCGCTGGCATTCAGTGCACAAGAGGACTTACTCAGGCACAGGTTTCACAGAAAATTATTCATGAATGGGGAAAGAACCGGTATATCCTAGAACTAACAAGAGTGGCAGCACCCATCTATCTCTCCCTGAGCATTTTGTATCCTCCTCCAGCTTTTCGACATGGGAATTTTCATACTGCATCGCCTTTAGGTTTAAAACATTGCCCTGAAAAGATCCTTTGTTCTCCTGGGATTTTCAGCAGAGAAGAGTGGGCAAATATTCTTGAGCGTGGCGAGAGCACTCAGGTTCAAGTGCAGGTCTAGCTCATACCTTGCTGTGGCTTCTCAGGGTTGGCTTAATGCTGAATGCCACGATGTATTATGCTGCCATCCACTTAAACTGACAGTAGTCACTCATGGTGGGATGACTTATTTCCCAGTACCAAAGCTTTGTCACTGTGCAGCACTTAGCTCAGCGTGCTTCAGTGTTCACCCGAGGATCCTGTTTCAGCAGAGCCCACAACTGGCAGCGCCTTTCCCCTGCTTGACCCTGAAGAATTATTTTTCTCTCCGGTGGAATGTAAGAATGACAGCGCTCAGTATGTCTGTATATATGAGTGTGTGCGTGTGATGTATGGAAGTGCCTACAGGGAATTGCAGCCGCCTGCATCTACCGCACGGCACAAGTGCCGGTCCCGGGGCGGCCGAATGGGAAGCCGTCAGGAGAGCCAGCGGGTCGGAGCTGGAGCTGCGTGTGCATCCTGGCGTGTACACCAAGAGGGGCCACAGCCGAAAGCAGCCTAACAGATCTCCTTCCCACCCGGGGTGCTGCGCTGGCTTGGCACGCTTCAGCCGCCTCCTGCAAAGAGCATAGGCAAGTACTGTTTTTATCTTCTGGCAACGGCTTTTCCACTGCCTTTTGTTTCAGGTACCAGTTAGCAGTTTGAACCAGAGCAGATCATCTGGGATCCCCACTGAAGATCAGTGGGGTGTTTTGAGCTGGCAGTGGTTTTAAAGCCAATACCTGCACCCCCCTTTTTCCTTTGCCCTTCTCAGCCCCAGCACAGAGAGCACAAAGCAGAGGAGGTATTTTAAGGGCCTGGTGCTGTCACGCACCAAATTTTGGAGGGTGGTTTTCCTGTGAAGGCTGCCTTTTAAAAATCACAGCACCTTTGCAGGAGTTGGACACAAAGAAACTGAGCTGTGGTCATGCCTCGGTGACTGGTCACAACTTTTGATGCTTTTGAGGCATATCGATGCATCTGAAATACAGATGCTTTCCAATCCTCAAGAGCTTGGTGAGGCATCAGCTGTCTATCCAGTATTGCTGGGAGATGCTCTATGCTAAGAACCACTTAAAAGCCAAAGAAAATCATCCCTGGATTAACACCAATAATGAGAGCAGGGAAGTGAACTGGGTGACTGCAGTCACATTTAACGGGATATAACCTAGAAACAAGTAGATGTTTGTCACTCCATACTATTACTGCAGTATTCAGTGTTTTTCTTTCCCTGTTTAGGCTGACTTCTCTCACCCACCATCACAGCCTACCGGCTTTAAGGGCTGCAGTGACCTTGGTGACCAGGGCTTGGCCCCGTGTCAGCAAAGATGCTGTAGAAAGGGGAATGGATCCCCTGGGAGACGTGTGATAACCAGCAACCAAATGACTGGCTGGTCTCTGGCAGATGCTGTGACAGGCGGGAGATGACTCAAGCGGTACATTTTATCCATGGGCTCAAGCACACTCGGTAAATGTTAAGTATTACTTCACAGAAATTGGAGAGTGTTGTAAACAACCCCCTACAGACTGAAAAGCAAAGATCCAAGCTGTTAAGCGGTTTGTCCTTTGCCATATCACCACACTGGTTGTACATTTCCTTGTGGAAGCGGGAATCTGCCCTAAAATTGTTGATGGAGTTGAGTAGAGAAGGGTGAGTATTGGCTGGAGAAGCTGGTGGAGAGGGAGTCGCCCGTCGTGTGCAATAGGTTGCTGAGGGGGCAGGCTGGTGCTGATGCTGCCCTGACCAACATCTGGAATAGGCAGCAGGGTTTGTTTTGGTTTGTTTTTTGAAAAGGCTACAGCAGAAGTTCTCCCTGTTGGTGCATCCTGAGGGGAGTTAGTTTTCTTTGGATTTAGATCCAGGGTTTCTAAGTGACCTCAGGAAGAGAGGAGCACGTTAGAGGCGATGGCCCGTGCTGGAAAAGTAGGAAACCGGGGTTAAATCAGCACCCACCAGAGATGCTGCAGGTGGTTGTGGGCTACACCTGATGAGGGTCAGGCAGTAAAGAGCTGTCCCAGATGTTCACCTGGTGATAGCTCACAGCACAGCCTGTCCATGGGAAGCCCCCACAGCAGCTAAGCTTCCCTATGGGGCTGGGGACACACAGCCTTTTGCTTCGTGCTCTGGCAATGCTTCACTGGAGACAGGCAGAGTTACAGCTGCAGTGTTTAAACGACACTCTGGTGACGGATTGCTTCCGAGCGTAGCCTTAAGAGAAGTTTTTACAGGACTTCTCCATGTGTAGTTCCTGGTAGGCCAGCGTGGAGGTGTTTTCTATGGAAGAGCACAGCTTAACCCGTTTCTCTGATGTAACTGATGCTTGCTTTCCAAACATCTTGCTAGGAAAATGGAATTGGCCATAAATACTTAATTGGCTGATAACTCTGGCTCACACTGTGTAGCTAGAAATATTCCTCCCCAAATAACTGAGCATCAATCAGCATGCAGTCAAAACAGGAGGTTTGCTTTGCAAAAGGCGAGTGAGGCATCTGCAGTCACTGCTCCTGACAACATTGCGCCTGCTGGTAAATAAGGGCTGCAACCTATGTTTAAAAATAAGAGCTGCTGGGAGTAGCGATTTCTAGCCTAGAGTGTTCTGGGATCCCTGTGGGATTCCTCCACCAGCTCCTGCATGAGGATGAGCCGGTAGCAGTTGGTGTGAGCGTGTGTGTGGCGGGTGGTGCACACTCGGTGGGAGTTAACGCATGTCTCATGGTCCAGCTCCCCTCCTCTGACCCTGGGCCACTTGCAGGGGGAGCCTCGGGTCTTTAACCCTCACCCGTCGCCTCCTGGAGCCAACAGCTTGTGTGAAACAGCCTGCTGGTACCGCTGCTGCTCAACTGACAGCCCAAGCTCTTGTGGCCGCTGTCCTGTAGCCTCTGGACCGGGAATCTTCTCATCCTCCCAGCCCCTCTGTACCAGCCCTGGGTCCCAGCCGCCGGGCCGTGCCCACATCCCTATCCCTAAGGGGTTTTGTTCCCCAGCTGCTCTGAAATGGGTGACAAGGAAAACGGAGGTGTGCAGCCCATGGGGACTGCGTGAGCACCCAGCCTCGTGTGGTGCAAGCCCCTGGCCCGGGCTGAGGGTGCCTGTCCCAGCCCCAGGTCCTGGGGCCCAGGGGCTTTGTGCATACAAAGGGCTCTGCCAGTCTTGCACCACCACCCCCCAGTGACAAGGCAGCCGTGCCCCGCTAAGCCAAGGAGCTGTAGCAGTCACGTACCCTTAACTGTGCCACCTTATTTCCCGGCATGGATCTTAGGGTCTGCATCCAGTCCTTCTGGTTTACTTTCTTCTGCAGGGCTGGAGAGCCCTTTACTCACCAAGAAATACTCCTCGTGAAGGTCCATCTAGACACTGACCATGAATAAAGGGAGTGCAAGCACTTTGCAAGCCTGTAAGGCAAGTTACCCTGAGTTTTACCATTCCTTGCCCCTTGACTCTCATTTGTTTCACCCTTTCAAAGTGGGAGGCAGAGGCCTGACTTCTCTTCAGTGCAGCAGGACCCCAGGGTTGATGTCTCTGCCTCGGGCAGCCCCCCACAGCTGGGGAAAGCAGCCCCCTCCCGCTCCTGGGGCTGAAACAGGCGGCAGGGAGGGAGGGGAGGGGCAGGGCCCCAGCAGCCAGCCTGGTCCGGGTGGGCAGCTGGGCTGGGACGGAGCCATGCTCTCCTGGTGGCTCCTGCTTTGATTTAGCATTAAGTACAGCTAAGAAATGTTTGAGCATTAGCTTTCTAGCGTGGCTGACTGCCTCAAAGACAAGCAAACAAGGAATTCGCTAGGGTAGCTGTCAGAGTAGACTCTCAGCCCCTACTAATGCTCTCCTCCTCCCACCTGACCTTATTAACACAACCTGGTTATTTTGCAAGATGCCTCCTTTGCCTTTCAGCAGCTCACGGACGCTCTGGAGGGAGCAGAACTGTGAAATCTCTGGAAGGGACTGCATGGCTCAGTGGAGCACAGCTGGAGCGCCAGGAGGGAGCGAGATGCGGGGGCCTGAGCTGGCATAGCAGGACCCTGCCTGCCCTTGGGCCTGCCTTGCAGGAGCCACCCTTTATGTTACAAATAAAAATCCAAGGTAAAAAGCTGGCATTTGCTGTTATTCTGACTGCCCAGCTGGCAAAATCTTCTCCACCATTTGCAGGGCAAGTAAAGGATTTGGCTTAATCATGCCTGCTTGTCCTACACGTGGGATTTGCAG